ACAAAGGGAGGAAGCTGAAGAAAGAAAGAAAAGCTCTAAAGTGTGACTACAGTAGAAAACGACACACCAAAAAATGAGCATAGTGTTGGTAAACTTTTTCAAAAGCTGTTAAATAATATGCATTAAACATCAATGCAAAAAAGACAAAGGGAACAAATTATGGCTAAAAACAAGGAGTTAGTAAATGCAGTCATTATAGGACACTTTTGTTTAGTGAGCAAACAGCCTTCCTTACTGTATAAATCATCCAGTTAATGTATAACAACACATATTTTCTCAAATCTTATGTAGCATCTAAACCACTGCATAGATATATAGAAATGACCAAAAATAGGAGAACATCTAACAGTAGTAAAAAGTGTCTACTTCAGTCAATCAAACAAATCAACTCTCACCTGTCTGAATGACGATGTTTATTAAAAAACAGCAGATTATAACAGCAGGTCGCATTTGGCTGTTTTTTAACACCCTGTCATGTTTCCTGCCTGCATGCATGCATAAAACGAAACTGAGACAGGTAAGCTCTCTGCTTGCAGGAGGCGTCCCGAGTAACTTAAAATGCCTTCGGATGACAGGAAGGGGTGGGAGGGGTGTAACAATCCTACATCAGGATTAATCTCTATTAAATAAAAAAAAAAATCAGATTAATACTTATTATTTATCAGCCACCGCGTTTAAAGAAAACATCCTGACACTGTTTGATTTTGACATTAACCAAGAATAAAAGCAGCATTAAACTATTAACCATATCTTACTTTTGGTATCTGAGTTATAAAGCTCACAGATTTAACACACAAGAAAGCTGATCCAAAGTTCAAATTTTAAGTTTCAAGCATCTGTAAGAATAATTTAGTTTGTGGAGTTAGTGACTAATCAAAATATAACACAGAAGTGTTTGTCATTCATACAGTTCATTAAAATAAAACAGGAAGAGCTCGATGGAAACCCCCAAAAATATGTTAAAATATTCAGACCCATGTATGATTTTTCATACCACATTTACAAAAGTTTGAGTGCTTTATTGGGACTTTATGCGAAAGACCAATGTGAAATAGTACGTCTACACAACTTTGAAATGGATGAAAATGATCAGTTTTCAACATTTTTTTTTTTCTAGTAAAACATTTCTGAAAAGTGTGGCAGGCACCTAAAATCATGTAATGAACTGTTGATCATTGATAAGACGATTGCTTTTTATATAAGAAATAAATGCACACTGAAAAAAATAACGCAACTGTTTTTTTTTTTTGGCATCTACTTAATCATATTTAGATATTTTAAATTGTTTGTCCTACCCTGCTAACATGAAAATATTGTGTTTAACCAAACATGATTAAGATTCAGCGTTAAGAAAGTTTTTTGTTTGTATTTTTTTGCAAATATATATTTAAGCACTGTTGTATTTTTCTTTAACCCCCTGAGTCAATACTTTGCAGAATCACCTATTTACTTCATTTATAGCAGCAGATTTTGTGTAATATCTAATAGGTCGTATTGTTGCACATTATTTATATAAAACACTTTTTAATGGACAGATTGAAATTGGGAGGAATTTGTATTAGGAGTAATGTAAAGTTAGGGGTTACTGTAAATAATGTTATAAACATTCACTCTTACCGGTTGGCTGCAGTAACGTCACAGCAGGAAGCATTTAAGTGCCAGAATGCAGGTAAAATCCAAATTTCTTAGTTTTCTCATATTGCCAGTGATTTTATTTCATTATTTCAAATATAAAGAAAGGTATTGTTTTTTCTTTTAGAAACTAGTCTAAAAAAAAAAAAAAAAGGACAAAAGAGTTGATATAAAGATGTATGTCTTTAAAATACAGAAAATTTAATTGAATCCATTTTCTGTTTTGCAGTTTGAGAAACGCAGCTAAATAATAAAAAAAAAAAATTTGTTCATATTTTATTTGAGAAAGTAAAAATAGAATTAGTTTAGCAAATAAATAATGTTTGCTGAGATGTCAAGACATTTCTTCGCAAGAGCACCAGTGCTAAAGCTTGTGATACAGCATAAATACTGGTTAGCTAAGTCTTTGTCTCCTTCGTTTACCTCTTTAATTACACAGGGTGTTTTGCATTTCTAAAATATAAATTGTATAATAGTTAAAGCATCTCATTAATACCTATGAATAATAAAAATAGCTAAAAATCACAAAAAAACACAAATCTGACTTAAGTTCTATTTTTCATTTCTCTTTTTCACTTCCCCAATGGTAAATAGTTTTCCAAATATGCCACTTTAAGAGCTTTCTGGATGCTGTTTAAGTTACGATTCATCAAACTAAATCTTCCACTGAATGCTTGAAAAGTGGCAAATATCCACAAGCTGAGGGATTTCCTTTAGCTCCACACATCTAGGCGACTGTAGGTCTGCATTAATATAGACTCACTGGAATTTGATGGTTGATGTAATGGCAGCCTAATGGCGAAGGAAACACATGCATTCAAAAGTGGTTTGCTGCATCTTTCTCACACTGACAGAAAACCACAAGTTAGTAAAAAGATATATGTCATTCACTCCACAAGGAAATGTCCTCTTTGAAATAGTTTTGAATATTCAAAATGATTTTAGGAAAGGGGCAAATGTTTAATTTCATGTTCACCTATACCACAGAGCTATGGTAATATACATGGGGTGTCACAGTGGAAGGAGGAGGGCGTCCCATTGTCATTTAAGGTTGAAGGTAACTTTATTGATACTTGCAGGTAAACATATTTTGTAGTTTGGAAAACGGGCATCTCAACACTTAAATTAAATAAACTATAAAAAACTCAGAACACATACAGAAGAAAAGTTAATTTAGTACAACTAGACTTTAATAGGTACACCCAGCACCTCACTAAACATGGTTAAAAGAAAAATGAATAAATAAATATGTCTGTTTAATATTCCTAACATGACTGTATTAAATTATTACAAGCATACGAAGAGACAAGATAGTTTGACCAAACATTGGAGATGGAAAGAAATAAAGTGGGTAAAAGCACATTAAGATTTATTTAAAAGAGAAACAGCTACAGGAACCAAACTATTCCTGTAGTGAGCATCAAGCATGTGTGAAACAACTAGAAAAAACATCAGTCAAGCTCCGATTCGCTGAGTTACCATGACAACAGGCAAGCGGACATCTACCCATTTCACACCACTGGAACTAGAGGTGTTTTACATTTTGCTTTTGTTTGGAATAAATACATATTTGTAAACCAACTAAATCCAGCATCTCATTGAGATTATTATAAATGATTTCATCATAACATCACAATAGTTTTTCATGTTCCTCATCCTTTGATCTCAGGTCGGCTGCTTCTTCTCTTCCACTGCAGACTGGTGGGTTAGTTTGTTCAGACCATCCTGCTGGTTTTACTCCTGACTGCTGCTGTCTGCATCGTATTCTCACATTGGTTTCCATATGTATGGGTACTATTGAAGGTTCCTCAACACTGAAAAATAAAAGAAACAATAACTTTTTTGTTGAAAGTTAAGTTATATAAAAATATTAAACTCTAAACGTTGCACAGTAAGATAAATCTGATGAACACATCAGAGAAGAAGAAGCTGCATTGACAAGTGAATGATTTAAAGTTTTCTAGAATTAAAATAAAAGGACTAAATATACAAAAAGGAGGCAAGAAGTAAAGGTAGAGGTAAGAGAAAGGAGAATATTACTATGAATGAAGAGCAAAGTAAAGAAGGTCTTACAATGGTTTGCTCCATGTATCTTCATGTAGCGGGATCAATGTATCTTCATATAACTCGCGCAATGCATCTGCAAATGATGTGTTCAATGGATCGTCACATGGCTTTTTCACTGGATCTTTCGCTTCCGTGTTCAATGCATCTTCAAGTGCCATGCCTGGTGCAATTTTAGTCCCTCTGTGAAATAAAAAATATATATATCTCAATAATCCACAAACAATAATCTGCTGAGTTGAACATCCAGGTGACAATTCAGACACTGTGTGAAAGAAATACCTTTTTTCTGCCCTTTTTGTGAACCATAAAATGATGAGAAAAGCAACGATGCAAACCATGAATCCACTGATTATACACCATGCTATGGAGACACAGGAAAAAATGCTGATATGATTAACTAAATCATGAATAATAATGAAATTAATTATAAAACTGAAAACTCCTGAACATTAACTTACCAACAGCACTGTTATTTGAAGCAGATTCTACATCAAAACCTGAAGAAAAAGAAAGATATGAGATTTAAATTAAAATATGATTATTCAGCTCGACATGAGTCTGTCAGAGTTCCTCACCATCATCAGATGTTCCTTTAACTCCAGGAACGGTGATCAGCTTTTCTCTGGGAGCAGCAGAGAGCACTGACACTGAACATCCAACCTGTGTGCTGCTGGAAGCTGACAGCAGAGCTGTGGTGGTGACGGTGACTGTACC